GCCTTCAGCTGCCCCTCCACCCCCAGGGCTGTCTGAGTCTCAGGAGCCAGCTTGTCATTTGGGTACCAGAAGTGAAAAAATGAGGCAGAATTCTTCCCCGGGGAAACCCAGGCCATGCGGGGTTGGGGTGGGTGGCTGGAGGAGCCCTTGCTGGTGGCTCTGGAGGCTGTGGCCAACTACAGTGCCCCCCCCCGGTGCCCTTTTCTCCCCTTCCCTTGCCTTCCTGCTGGGTTTGAGGGCCAAGCCCACGTGCCTTCTGGCTGGGCACAAGAGCAGCTGCCTCCCTGTCCGCCTGGCAGGCAACTCACCCTGTGTGGCTACTGTGCCTCCCCCCGGTGAGGCCCTTTTTCCCGTGGGCCTGATCCGATGGCGCTGGCAGGGGCAAACGCAAACCTCTCTGGCAAGGCCTGCAGTGCCAGTCTGGGGCATCCTGGCTCTTCCAGAGGCCTTTGAAAGACTTCAGCTTCCATCAGACCCGTTTCCCCTGCTGGATGGGACACCTGGGAGGTGTAGTCCAGAACAATAGGAAGGGGTTTTTCTGCCCCTCTCCCGTTTGGGCTGCTCTGTTGCCCTTCTCCCCTCCCGCTGCCCTTGGTCTGCACTCAACTCTTGCCACCCCACACTTCCGCCAGGGGCCCACGGCAAATTGACTGCTAGCCCCACAACCCTTCCTGCAAGTGTAAGGGCCAGCAGGCTCTGTGACCCGCTCCTGCTTTGGACACCCGTTCCTGTTCCCCCCCCCAACAGCCCTCCTGCATCCCAATGGGGAGTTCAACTGGGTTTTATTTCATCCCCGCCTCTCTGCCAGAGCTTCAGGAGCACTCCTGCCCCCCTCTGACCCCCAAGCATACTGGAGAGACTGCTCATTTCCAGCCGGCCTGACTGTAAAGGATAAGCGGATCGTACAGCCAAGCCAACCCCCCCCTTCTCTCGATGCACCAACTCCTCTGTCGAGCTGGACTTGCAGTGGTGCAGCCCTATCAGGATGGAAAGGTGTGTGTGTGTGTGTGTGAACGAGACACACCTCTCTTCCAGAGATGCAGGTGTGCGCTTGCCTTCCAGCCCTAGCATCATCCCACAAGGCGCCTCTCTGGCCACAGAAGGCCAAGGAGTGGGGAGGGGGGAGGTAGGCCACCGATCCAAAGCTCGCTTGTTCCTCTACCGCAGCGGCACCCTGCGACAGGCTGAAGTGGAGCGGGTCGTCTGTGCGCCTGCACCGGCCCCTGCCTCCACCAGGTGAGCAAGGTGGCCGTCCCCCCAGGACATCAGCAGCAGGCACAGAACAAAGAGGGGAGGGAGGAGAGGGACAATGGGATGAGGCACCAAAGCATTTCTCAGGCACTCCCACGGTTTGGCATCTTCTTTATTGACAGTCAGGATCCCGCCCCGCCCCCATCCGGAAAACAATGCACCCCCAACTGGACCTCTGAGACGGCTCTGCCGACCGACCACGCCACCCATGCTGGAGGTCTCTGGGCCTGCTGTCCACACTGTCCGTCCAGGGGAGGGAAGGGTTTGTGGCAGGCCTCTCCCCAGCCGTTTCATGGCGAAAGAGGTGGTCTGCCTGCCCAGTTCGCTTCCTGCCTCCTTCCCTCCCTCTTGGCTGCCGGCTGCCCAGAGTCCTGCCCTGGTGCCTCTGGGCCTTGCGTGGGGGGGGGGGGAGAGCCAGCCGGGTCGTTGGTGGGTCCCTCTCTAGGTGAAGAGGCGGACGGTGGCATCGGCCCCCGCAGAGAAGAGCCAGGGCTGGGTGGGATGGAACACCACGTCGAGGACCCCCAGGTCCTGGGTCAGCGCGTGGCCCTTCAGCACCTTCACGGGGACTATGAGCGGGTTTTGGAGCAGGTCGCTGCAGGAAGGGAGGAAGGGGAGAGGAAGAGAGATGGAGAAGAGCTCAGAGTCAGGCCCCTTTCTCTTCCAGGGCCAGGAAAGAAGAAGGGCCCCCGCTCCCAACCCAGTCTAGAACACCACCGCCCCCACCCCATCCATACGCACCTGTAGACTGTGCCGTGGCAGATGATGACGCTGCCGTCATCTGAGCCGGAGGCAAAGAGCGGGTAGTGGGGGTGAAAAGCCACGGCCCTCAGTGCTGCTTTGTGGTGCCTGCAAGATGAGAGAGGAGCCTCTCTTCAGACACTGCTGGCGTGGGGGGGGCAATTCTTTGGGAGGGAGGCTGCCACGAGATGGGGAAGGATCGGCGGCTAGGCCCCCGGCTGGCAGGCAGGCAGGCAGGCGGAGAGGGGGGCATCCTGCCCCTGGTGGTGGGAGGGACAGGAGGGGACCCTTTGCTCCCACCCAGAGACCCTCTGGCTGGACAGGTGGGGAGGGGGCTAGGTGCTCTCCCTCCCTCTCTCTCTGACATGTCCAGGCGGCACCCACATCGCCTTGGCTGCGCCAGAGACCCAGCGGGCAGGCAGAGGCTTCTCTCCTGCGCTCGGCTGCCTGAAAGCACCAAGAAGGGAAACTCCCCCTCCAAATCCCAAAAGGGCGAGAGGGACGGAGCGAGCGGCTCTCGGGCATCTCAGAACGCCCTGCCGAGGGACGGCGTCGCCAGCCCTTTACCTCAGCACCCGGTAAGGCTTCGTCGACAGGTCCAGATCGAACCAGGCCAGTTTGCTGTCGTAGCTGCCGCAGATCAGGTTGTCGCCTGGAAGAGAGGAGGCCGTGAGTCGCCTGTGGGCCCCGTGGGGTGGGCAGGCCACCTTGGCACACCCACAGTTGCGGCCCAAGCAGAAAAGGGGGGGGGGCTGCTGCTGCTGCTGCTGCCACCTCCTCCCTGCCACGGCCCTCTCCGTGCCCGCTCTGGGGAGTTCTGGTCCCACTGTCCCTCCTCCCGAGGCCGGCCGGCCAGTCCCGGCCCCGCTCTGCTCACCTCCCGGGTGGAGGGCGATGCTGGAGACCCACTTGCAGTTGCTGAGCAGCTTCTTGGTGAGCTCCTGCTTGAGGAGGTTGTAGACGCGGACAAAGCGCTGCGTGGCCACAAAGAAAAAGGGCCGCAGCGGGTGGAAGAGCACGCGCTGGACCTGGCCCTTGCTGCGGCGGAAGGGCGCCTGGCTCCACCGCTTGCTGGCCTGGTGGATCAGCACCTGCAGGTGGCTGTTGTCCGACACGACCGTGGCAAAATAGTCCCCTTTCCCGTGCCACGTCACCTGCTTCAAGGGCTGGGGAGAAAGCGCAGAGAGAGCTCCGCTGGGGTCGTGCGGACGTATGTGCATGCAGGCACCCCTAACCCCCACGCTCCCTCCCCGTGCAAAGGCCCTTCTCCAAGCCACGGCCCTCTGGGGTCAGGAGGAAGTTCAGTTCTGCCAAAAACTTGCCTTGTGACCAGGATGCATCCAGTGAGCAGCAGCAGCAGCAGCAGCAACACACCGGTGCGTGCATGCGCCCGCCTCCCTGACCGCCCCTACCTTCCCATGCCTGATGATGAGCCGGATGCCCCGGGCACGCTCCTCTCCCGCCGCTTCCTCCCAGGTGACCGGCTGGGGCCGTTCCTCCTCAGGGGCCACGTAGCCCTCGAGAAGCTGGTCGGTGGCTCCATACAGCAGCTTGTCCCCGAGGGCTGGGTTCGCCAACAGCACCGAGTGCTCTCTGGAAAGAAGGGGGGGGGTCAGCAGGGAAGCCCATGCGCAACTCCAGAAGGGCCCCAGGGGAGGCTGAAGGAGGGGAAAGCCCTGGGGGGGGGAGAGGAGGAGACAGTCAGAGCAGGCCGGAAGGAGCCTGGAAGGGGTCCTGATGAGGCGTCCCCTTTGGGTAGATGAACGGTGTGCTGCGCAAGATCCCCTCCCCTCCCCTCCCTCGCGTCCCCCTGGGATCCTTTCACTGGGCACGGTTTCAGTCCACTGGTAAAGCACTTGCATCTCCTTCCCCCCCCCAAGTTTCTGCCCCTATGCACACACACCCTTCCCGAAAAACAGGCACCACCGTAGAGTCCCAGAGTGTTGTGAGGGCCCGGCTCGGACACTTTCCCCTCTCAAGCGCCCACTGCTTCCGCTTTGGCCCCGGCTCCAACCCACTGCACCCCAGGAGGCCTCCAGGAGCTTGTGGCTTCCCCAGAGCAAAGCGGACCCGCCCCCATCCGAACGCGCTGGGCGGCACTCACACAGCGATGGCCACGAGGCAAACAGCCGGGTTGGGGTTCCAGGCCACGCTCTTCACTGCGCCGGGCACAGGGAGCGTCTTCACGCAGCGGGCCGTGCAAACCTCCCAGAACTTCACCGTGCCGTCGTCGGAGCCTGTGCGAGAGCCATGGGGGGGGGGG